TAGCTGTGTCCATCCCGCATCCAATAAAAAATAATTTCCTCACAGAAGTCTCGGACACGTATCCGAGCCTTAGACATGCATGTCCATTTTGGACACATGTCCGACAATGGTACAGGACCCCTGGGAGGGGTGTCCGTACTTCATAGTATTTCATAAATTATCCACTACCAAACACAGACTTACCTGTAATGTGAAGACCAAGTCTTCTTTTTCCTTTTTCGATTTTCCATCATTTATTTATTTATTTGTTTATTTTATTTAATTATTTGATTTATTCTTTTTCCGCATTGCCTTAGGGTTTTGTTGTACCCGAGGTAGGCTTCGGTGTTCGGAACTGATTTCCGGTTTCACGTGCATTACATTATATTGTCTTTTATTGCCCGTGTATGTCTTAATTTCATTATAAAGCATGCTCGTTTATTTTTAATTTCCAGGCGTATGGATGCATGGTTTCTTCGAAAACATCTTTATTTTTCGGGGTGCTTTATATAATTATATTTTTGAGATATTTTGCCTTAGGGACTGTTGTGCAATTATTCTTTGAGATATTTTGTGGAGGGACTAAGTTACAATTTGGGAAAAAGAGAGACAAGTGGCACTCTCCCATTGGCCCATTCGTTGACTTACCATTGGATACACTTGGAAGCCTAGATTGGTGACAAGTGTAAGGCTTGGATTAAGCCTAGTGAGGAGGCCTAGATTGGTGACAAGTGGAGGGTAGATGTGTGTATGTGTGAGAGAGAGAGAGATAGTGTTGGTGTGGTGTGTTTGGCTATCAAAGGGGTTTTGAGTTAGTGGAAAAGGGTGTGAAGTTGTCTTCCCTACAAAGCCACCATTGTTGAGACCTTGAAACCTTAGCCACCATTTTTAGATTTTGAACCCCTTCCCTTGGGAATTTGGTCTTTCACCTTAAAGATCAAATCTTCCTCTTTTCCTTCTTAAGAACACCTTTTTACAGTTTCTCCTTTTGCCTTCGTTTGCCTCGGATTCTAAAGGGACAATCCTCTAGTAAGGTATTTTGAGAAATTCTAAAACCCTAGCCTCCAATTATGAAATTTGACCCCTTTCCCTTGAGAATTTGGTCTTCCACCTTGAAGATCAAATCTCCCTCTCTTTTTTCTCTAGAACGCCTTTTCACAGTTTTTCAATTTGATTTCGTTTGCCTTGGATTCTAAAGGTTCAATCCTCTAGTGAGGTAAGGAATGTCATATGTTTATACCCTTAATGTTTTATATGTTCTTGGAGTTGGTATACATTGTTTACATGTTATTTTTGAATTTTAGGGTTTTATATAGATGTATATAACATGAAATTAACTTATGGATTTGTTTTATGTATGGCTTATACTTGATCTTTAACTTGTGTTAACATAGTTTCATTTAGTGATATTTTGAAATCTAGAGATTTTAAATTGTGTTGTTATAGAAATTCTGTATGATTATTGTCATTAATCTAATTGTGTATTTGAGGTTGTTTTGATGTTTAAATCATGGATTTAAAACTTGTTGCACACTCACATGAATGGATTTCAAATGTTAACTTCATTGTTATAGCTTAGTGGAAATTCACATTGTAATCTTGTTATAGAAATTGCCATTTTTAGCTTAAGGACTTAGGGCATGACTTGTGTGTTTTCTTATTTAGTTGTGCATGAAAAGTGGAAAAGTGCATTGTATACTTGGTATATTTATGGTATAGTTTATTGATTTTGGAAACTTGGTGCGTTATTGTTGAAATGGCTAGAACAAGGTTTTAGTGCGGAGGGTACGAGTTCCTCCCAAATTAAGTGCACTAGGGTAGTTCCCGGCTAGGGATGGCAATTTGACCCGCCCTTGTGGTTACCCGCCCCGCCCCATTTTTGGCGATTTTAGGAGACCGTTTTGCTTATATGGGCGGGGATGGTTTCATGTAATAAAAACCCGCGCGGGTTTGATGCGGGGTTCAGGGGAGGTCGCCCCGCACTGCCCCGCCCCGTTTAGATAAGTAAATTACTTAAGTACCCTTATTTCAATAGTATATATATTTACCATTATACATTAAGTATCCTATATAATAATATTAAAGTAACAAATGAATTTGATTAAAAAGAAAGTTGCAATGGTGAAGAATTGAAGATGAGGAAAAAAAAAAAAAAATCTATTTCAACAATAAATAAATTATGGTCTTAAACGGGGCGGAGCGGGTACCCGCAGGGATAAAAATGTTAAATGATTACGGAGATGGGGTAGAAAGTTCCCCCGTTTTTGCGGTTTTGGATGGAGACGGGGGTAGGGTTTTTAAACGGTTGCAGGGGCGGTAGAGGTACACCTGCCCAAACCCACCCCTGTTGCCATCCCTATTCCTGGCGGGTTAGTAACCAAAAATAGCTATCATGCATTTGGTTTTATCCAGCGTGATGTCTAAGTATATCCACATTGTTTGATTTTGCAATTTGTTTCAAGTTGATAATACTAAATTGTTGTAACTTCTTGTTGGCTTTGTTGGTTCCGATTTCGTTTAATTGTGATACCTATTGCGGATTATGTTTATATAGTTTCAAAGCTAGCTTTAGGATGTTCCCTTAAATCTAGATTGAACTTAGATGTTAGGTGGCATGATCCATGTGTATCCGTTTATATTAACTTGCAAAATCGTTAAAACTTTAGGTTATACGCATGTGCATTATCCTACGAGTAACTTGTTTACTCACCCTAGTTGATTTGGGCCTTTTTCAGGAAATGAGACATTGTTTTTGGATGCTCACCATCTTTAGCTTGGCTTGGTTGCATTTGGATAGCTTTTGTGTATAATTGACATGCAAGTGTTAGCATATTTTTGGTTTATCTTTTGTTGTTGTAAAGTATAACTTGTTAAGAAGCTTGTCATGCTTTCTTTTGGTGGTGTAACATAAACTCAAGTAACTTATTTTGACTTTACTTCAACATATATGTAATGAGGTTAAGGACCAATCTCTTTTGAGGAATAGAATGTATGTTTAATTTCAGCCAATTTTTGATTTTACGACTTATTTAAACATAAGGTGGTTTTGGGCATTTTAGGTTGTATATTATTTTTGATTCGGACCATGGTTGGTTAGAAAACTCATTTTTGGTAGGGGTTTCTTCACAAACATTTTTCAAAAAAATCTATTTTTAATTCGAAAAACAGGCATTTTCGAAAACTTCACAGTCGCAGCTAGCCCCATCACGATCGTTCGCAAATTATGCGATCGGTCATGGGGCACCTTTTTGGTAACTTTTCATCATTTGTAAACTTTGCGATCGGTCGCAAAGGTTGCGATCGATCACACTGGGCACTTCTTCTTTTTAAAATTCGAAATTTGGCTACTGCCTATCAATCGTAGACTTCTGCGATCGGTCGCACCATCTGCGATCGATCGCAACTATACATTTCTTTATTATTTTTTTCAAAACTTCGGAAGTTCATAACTTCTTCGTCCTAACTCCAAATCAAGTGATTTTTGAGTATAAATTTATTAGTTTTTTTATTGTCTATCCAATGGTATACACGGTAGCATCCATTTCTGTTTGAAATAACTATTTTAATCTTCTTGGTTCACTTTGTACATTTTAAAAACCTAAATCTCTCTAGTCTCGTGGCTTCTTAGGCTGTCACTTTGGCATCTTAGAGATGATATCCATCTCTAAAAACCCCTTCACTTTTATTTCGCTTCCGCATTTGGGATTCGTTATCGAATTTGTTTTCGAAATACTCGTTGGCGCACTGAGTTCTTTAAAATTCGGGCCGTCACATGTAATCAAGTGGGAGTAATTGCTTCCACTGATTTATTTCTTTATTTATTTGTTGTTATTTTATACCTATAATTTCTTTTTCTTTTTAAAAAATTCCCATACAAATTTTAATTTACCTCCACTGAAATTATAGAATAATATCACTATTGCCCCTACAACATAGGCCATCCCCTTACATAATTTTCTGAGCCCATCCTATCCACTACTATGCTCGGACTTTGGTGTCTCCTTTGAAGGTGAGGAGGTTATATATCATTCAACTAATCTCACCTTAAGTACTCCACTTTTTCTTTAGTTGCATTTCAACTTACTTTAAAATAATAATAATAATGATAATAATAATAATATAATTCTCTTAAAGACATTAATAATCCACAATTAGTTGTATAAGTATTCTTACACTACTTTTTAATAAATTAAAAAAAAATCATTTCATTTACAAAAAATTCAAGTGATTATATCCCCTTTGCGTATTTAAAACATTCTTGTGAGAGAGTATAACCCACTTCGGAGGTTTGGGCTTGACTGAATTCTTTTAAGTTCAAATCAAAAGTTTTTTACTTTGGGTTTGGGTCCTATCAACTAAATAAGACCTGCACATTCAACTAATTTTTGTTCGATTTCAATTTTTAATCACTAATATCATCTTAAAAAAACCACTCATTTTTTTCTTTCTCGGTAAATTGGGGACTCCAATAGGTACACTCATTAGAAAAACTTAAACATTCTACTTATTGGGTGTAACAAGTGGGAGCTTGTCTTATATCGGATTTAGATAAAAAAGTGAAGGAATATATATAAGTTGGGTGTTAGTCTCACCTAATAACTTAATATTTTGGGTCAGATCGCAAAATACCCATCCGTTACGGTTGATATCAGAGTCAGACCAGTTCTTAATCCGATGTCATACCAAACACCCGATCCGGAGAGCATCCACGTGTCCAACCCAAGTAGGCTCGGTCGCCTGAGCCGAAACGATGACGTTACGAGTTTGGATACAAGAGAATATAATAAGGAAGAACTTGTTTCACATCGTATTCGCAAGAAAAATTGAATGAGTATACACAGGTGCTTTAGGATCCGGTTTGAACTAAATCATTGGTTAATGGCAAATTAAAATAATTTTTTTTATACATTTATATATAAATATATTTTTAGGAAATTACATATATTTTTTCTTTTGCTTTTCGAGATAATACAATCACACCTAGAAACAAAACAAAAACCATTATTTAATCACATTCAACAGTCATGTCATATTTATATCCCAAGAAACGCATACAAACTTCATACCACTCTAACCTAACCAAGAACTTCTCGCCTAGACACAGACATTCCGGCGTATTTTCCGACGACTTCCCGGCGAGATTCCACGGCGTTCACCGACACGTACAACGGTAGAGATGAGAACAGTGTGAAGAACAATCGGCTGATCGTCATGTCAGTCTCTTGCTCCGACTACTTCCCCGACCTACTCTGCTGCGAGGACTCCGAGATCTTGTCCGGCGACCCGTCGGAATGCTCGTCGGACATAGAATCTCCGGCGAACATCGAAGAATCAATCGCCGGACTTGTAGAAGATGAGAGGAACTTCGTGCCTGGATTCGACTATATCGAGAGGTTCCTATCTCAATCCCTGGATGCCTCCGCTCGTGAAGACTGCGTTGCATGGATTCTCAAGGTACCATTACCAATACTCTGTTCTCATCATCTTCTTCAATTTCAATACTCCCCGCTAACGTGCGCAGGGACGATAACGCTGACGCCACCGGACAGTGTCTGAAGTATGGCAGTTCATGCTGCTAGGTGCGCCGGTGGCTGACTCAGCCTAAACAGTGAACGGTGCGCATTTTAGCACGACCGGATTGTGCCCCGAGTTCGCAGTTGATGCTGCTACCGTGCGCCGGTGGCTAACCTCACCGTGTTGTGTGGGGGAGATGCTTAGGTGCGCCGGTGGCTAACTCCACCTGAACGGTGTGCAGTGCGCATTTTAGCATCCACCGGCTGGGCTAACTTACGCCCGGGTGCCTGTGGCGTGCCACAATCCGATTCTAAGTCGGCGCATTTCGGCTTTATTCAGGTGGTGCTAACTTGTAAGGGTGGTGATATTTACGGACTGATATGAACCGTTGGATCATTGGTTATGGATTAGATCTATCTTATTTATATATGTGTGTAGATGAGTCCAGCTAAAATTACATTAGAGTTGACATTGAGTTTTATGTTTTGAAGGTACAAGCTTACTATGGTTTCCAGCCATTAACGGCGTATCTCTCCGTCAATTACTTGGACCGATTCCTTTACTCTCACCGTTTGCCAGTGAGCTTCCACAAGTTAACGAAATCATCAAACTGTTTATTATTATTTTTTTCTCTCTTATTTCATTTATTTTATTTTATTTTATTTTTTGTGATTATGATTATATGATTGATTATGTACCTAAATAACGATTTAATGTGGCCTGTCTAATCCAAGAAAAAACTGTAATAGGGGTAGTGTGGGAAAAAATTTAGAACACTCGGGATGCTCCAATGGTTGGGAAGTTTCGAATAAGATCCTTTCTCAACCATTAGATGTGTGATAGTGAAATTTTTCTGATGAATGATTTAACGCTGATATTTTAAAATTTCTTGTCCTTGCAGCCATTGGATTCAATTCACTACCCAACAAAGTGAGAACAATTAGTTATGTACTTTGTCTGTGTAAAGAGTAAACACTAGACAATAAACTATGTTGTCACTACTTTTATCAAAAAGTTTTTGGTAAGCTTTGTCTGGACACTTAAAAATACCTCATGAATACACTGTGTACTACATTAACTTTATTCATTATTTTTCATCTCCAACTTGAAAAAAATATTAACTATACGAATTTCATCACTTATACGTGCGACATGAATTTTTACTAACTAATATTTTAATAATAAAAAAATAATTACACATCATTGGTTGGTGCCCCTAATTACCACCAAATACTAGTCTCCTAGAATTTGAGTGTCATTAAAAAATTGTCAGTTCAAACATTTTTACTGACTTTATTGTAAGGTTGCTAATTGTTGCCTCCATTAACTAATGTGTTGAGTCACTCAAAAGACATACTAATGCACTTTGGACTAATAATAATGGAATCAACATTAATAATATATATTATATATCTACCACATTGTCCATTTCTAAGCCACACACACACACACATATATATATATACTAGTGTAAAACTATAGCTAATCAGTCACATTGTAATGGCCATTATTATAATGAAAATAAAATGTTATTTTTATTTTTTAATTAAAGCATGCTTATTATACATAGCTTTGGATTGGGTATTTTTTCTTCTTATATACTATATTAATATATTCACAAGAATTAAAAATTCTTTTTTTTTCTCTATGCTATTGTTTTTTGTTGTTGGTGTTATTATGTGAAATTCTATTTGACTACATATACATATATTATTATTTATTTCAGCAAACGAATGGGTGGCCATTGCAACTACTCTCAGTTGCTTGCTTGTCATTAGCTGCTAAAATGGAGGAACCTCTGGTTCCAAATCTTTTGGACCTTCAGGTGACTTTTATATTTTCATGGCATTGTACTTATAACACCGATTAACACTCTCAAATTCAACATCATTAATATATATATATATATACACTATCGGATTATGCTTGGTATAGGTTGAAGGTGCAAAATACATTTTCGAACCAAGAACAATCCGTAGAATGGAGTTTCTTGTACTCGGTGTTCTTGATTGGAGGCTACGATCCGTCACACCATTCAGCTTCATCAGTTTCTTCGCATACAAGCTAGATTCAACAGGAACCTATACCGGGTATCTTATATCAAGGGCCACCGAGATTATTCTGTCTAATATCCGAGGTAATTAAACTAAAGTATAGAATTGAGTAGAGATACTTGTGCACGTACGCGTATATACATGTACATTTGTTATATATATACTGTGTTCATTAATTCAGCTAATATTTTGAACATTATTATAACAGAGGCTAGTCTTCTCGAGTACTGGCCGTCGTGCATAGCAGCTGCAACTATACTTTGTGCAGCTAGTGATATCCCAAATATCTCTCTTTTTAATCCTGCAAATGCTGAATCATGGTGTGATGGACTTAGCAAAGTAAGGATATGCGTGATTATGATTAATATCTTTTTTTAATTCGGGCATATATATATATATATATATATTAAAAAATATATTGAATTTTGCAGGAGAAGATTGTCAGTTGCTACCGGCTAATGCAAGACTTTGGTGTTGACAATAGGGGAAGGAAATGCTCAAAAGTCTTGCCGCGAGTCCGGGTCATGACCCGGGTGAGAATCGGGTCAGGTGACTCATCATCCTCATCCTCCTCCTCATCTTACAAGAGGAGAAAATTAAATAACAGCTTGTGGGTAGTTGATGATGACAAAGGAAGCTCTGATTAAGGAAAAAGAAAATATGGTGGTCCTAAGTTACCAGGAATCCTCAGTATTTTTGGAGGGTTTGGAGGGAAATTGACATGAGTGATGTAGATTACTTAGTATATCTATATATATATATATATATATATTGTATGTATGAGAGTTTGGGGGAGTTTGGAGATTTATTAATTTTTTTTTTGGTAGGCATGCCATTCATTGATGGCTTTGCAGATTCCCAAGGAGGGGGATTTGGTACATATAATTTTGTGGGAGGAGAGAGAGAGAGAGAGAGGGGGGAAGAGAGAGAAAGAGATGAAAATTGTTTAATAGCGGTGGAGTGATGGAGTGTGAAGAAGTGGGGGGTGATTGAATTCAAGGGCAGCATTGATTATTGAATGAAAGGGAAGGAGATGGGTGGGACCCAGAGGTAGGTGGGACCCATGGCACAGGAGGCCCAGAGGAGAAAATCAATGGGGTTGGCAAAAATAAAGGATTGAACTTTGAAGTTTGTAGCAATTTGAGCTGTTCATGTGGGTTATAAGTCAAGCTTCTCATCTATATGTATATAGGCCACCATCATTTCTTCAACTTTGGAGAAAAAACAAAAAGAAGAGGGAAGAGAAAATTTAATAAAGATGGCGCTCTCAATAATAGAGTAGTACTTCTTGATGAGTGGTATGTGTGTGTGTTTTACACACGTGTGCATGTGTGATTTTTCTTTTTCTTTTTTTTGGAGGGAAATGCCTCTTCTAACTTTGAGTGGTCTTCAAGCGTGTAATTGATTACACTTGTTGATTCATTTTTTATTGGCCTAATTTTGGCCTGACCATACATTAAAGGTCTTTGGGGCCTTATGGCGTGTTGTATTTGGATCCATCGATATGATTTATATATTTCTCATCTCTCTATCTCTATCTCTATCTCTATCTCTATCTCTATATAACATATACATTTCTTCGATCTCTATGTGCCATGCACGTGAATGACAACAAAGACTTCGTAGGCTTCCCATTTGTTTTTATTTACCGCGTAAAAGAACTTTTTAAGAACAAAGGGTGGAATTTTGTGAGCCTCAAAGGGCCAGGTTGGTCCCTCAGCCTAAAAACAAAAAAGATTGGTTAATTCAGTGATACGACTGCTCAGTCCCTAGCCACTAGCCATTGCCTTGTTGTGACTTGAATCGTTTCGGATCCGGATCTCTTCCTGTGTTGAGGAGATTCAGTGCCCCCGTGTAGTCTATTTTTATACATAACGGGAAGCACGTTGCACGGAATCTCAACGCAAATCTGTGTTGAGCTTAGCATTTATGCATTAAAATAACATCGTTTTAATGTACATGACAAGCACAGTCGAATTCTCTCTATGCAAGAATATATATATATATATATATATATATATATATATATATATAAATGATGGGAATATGATGGGAAAGCCAAGGCATTAAAGCAACTTTTATATACGGTATTCGATTCTAAAAAGAAGGTCTATGGATGAAGTTGTCACTTAGTCCGAGACTTCCGACATAGGTATACTGTCTGAGCAAATAATAACATAGCAAAATGGCCCTCTGGTGTTATAAAAGATAACAATATCACATCCATGTGTGACATGTGTGCTCAGTGATGGAAATTATTTTATGATTGCATTTCGAAATTTGCAATGCTGTTTTATGGACCACACCATAGAAAAAAACAAAAAAAATGCAACGAATTGTGGTCAGTACATTTTTCTCTACTTCTTCTTGGACCTGTATATATACCATTTTGATACTAATTCAATGCTGCAACAAGAGGTCATGGAAGATGTTATAAAGACTCCAATTATTTGAAAATGGACCACTTGAGTGTTGAGTGATAGCTTGTTCAAACAATGCGGATTCCACTATGTGTGTGTGTGTGTGTATATATATTATGAGTCTAATGCTATTGCAGTGACCAGCTTATTAATCAATGAGATCTGGCGTTTCCTAATTTCACTTGGATCAGTGGGACCAAAAGATTTTGGATGATCGATCACCAATCAGAACCACCATTGTCTCCACTAAGTAGGTCACACTACTATATACAGCAAAAGAAAATTGGGGTTTGTTTGGTGATCAATAATATGATTAAATTACAGCAACTAGACCTCCCCCATGAACAAGATCAGACAAAGGTTTTGGATTAATTAGAAACCCCAAGAGGACAAACCACAAGACAAGCCATGGAAGCAAGGGCGAATCCAGGAATTGTCAATGAAGGGGTTAGTATTGAACATAAATTTAATAACACAATTTCATAAGCAAATTTGCTTGTCTATAAATGCTTTAATGCCCGTGTATTGTAAATTAATGGGACCCTCGAGGTTTATATACAAAATCAATGTCCGCGGTTATTCATGTCATGTCTTATATGGACCCAGTCCACGTTTGTGCAGATATTTTTTGCTTTACAAACTATCCTATTTGGCAACTTCTTTCCGCGGACATAGTCCAAACTTTACTCGATCTATCTGGAGGGAGTGCCTTACATGAGTTTAGTGAATTAGTCGAGGCAAAGCCCCGTACAACCCGGTTATCGAAACAAAATATATACATATTAGTTCTTACCATTATCTTTCATTGAATGTGCCTCTTGTATGCATGATTCATAGATATTCTATGCTTTGCAAACTATTCTATTTGACAATTTCTTCCAAACTTTACTCGACCCGTCTGGAGGGCGCCTTATATGAGTCACGTAAATAAATCGAGACAAAACCCTAAATAACTTAATTAACAAAAAATATATATTAATTAGGGTAAAACTCCAGACATCCTGATTATCAATCAAAATATATATTAGTTCCTCCCATTATCTTTCATTGAATGTGCGTCTTGCATGCTATGATAAATGGGTAGATGGAAATAATTCACTTATAATAACAGAAAGGAGAAGTTGTAACATTAATCATCAACTCTTTTTTAAATCTCAAAGAATATACCCTGAAACCAATCAATGAACAAAAGGTGTAAACTAAAACAACAAAGAGGGTCCCAAAAGGCTCTTATGAAATGCATGGACCCAATCAAGCTTATCAGACCGATCATGCTCACACATTCTCTATCTCTCTTTATTCTCTCATAAAAACCTAAATGCCCTTTAAAGTGAGGAATCCAAAGTGTAAGCCCTAAAGCCAAAAAATACATACTTTCTCTCTCCCAATAGTAAGGTAAGAGTTTGGGGGTTGTAGGGAGCAAACTGTAGGTCTTTGCCCAACCCTTTTTCTAGGAGGATTCAAACTTTAGGGTGGCCATGAAAAAAAAAAAATTTAAAGAGAGAGGACCCTTAAAATTTCAGCTTTTGAATCTCATCGCCATGCTCGTGGGGTTACCGGGAAAAGTCCGGTGGCCCCCTGGACTAAAGGGGCTCAAAAAAAGCTAGAATAATTCTGAGTTTAATGGATATGGTATTGTGATTTTATGCTGAATGCAAGACAGCACCATTCTCAAGTCCATGGGGCACTCAATTGTCCCAGTCCCATGTTAAAATTCAGAATATATGAAAAAAAGATAAAGTGGAAGTTCTGAAAAGAAAATCTTGTTTGTTCATTTATACCATCTTACACGTGGGAAATTTTATTTTTGTCTCTTCATTATATCATAGATATTTTTATATTAGCGTTGTTTTTTTTTTTTTTTTTTTTTTTTTGAGCTTGGATGGACATACATTATGTATAAAAAATTCATGCATTAACATTTTTATTGATCATTAAATTAATTGTCATGGTTATATATTTGGTGATACATATTTTTGATGTGATGATAACAACTTGAGACTGATTTTAGATGTGGTGCTAAGAAAGATCATGGCTTTAGATTTGAGGGGGAGCCCAATTGTGGGCTTTCCAACTCACATTTTCTTCTTTGGATGCCATTATATATATAATATATATATATATATATCATCAAAAGAATATGTTGAAAGGAAGAGAAATAGGGGAGGAGTGAAGGAGCTGCTCTCGAGGGAGCGTCTATGGGTGTCGTGTTGTTCTTTATTTAGCTTTGTGATAGTGCCCTGGACCTCCATAATAGAGTGGAGACAAAAGAAGTCACAAATTTAATCATCAACAACCACACACATATAAATTACCTAACTAAAAAACATATATACAAACAAATAGATATACATACATACCTACTTATTAGAGCATTCATATGCTATATAGTCCCACCTTCTCCTATGGTATAATTTATTTGTGTATATGTGTAAACATATAAAAACTATATGTAAGTGTACATATAAATACACACATATGATATGATTTCTCCATTCTAAAGAGCCAAATGAGGATGTTGGTCAAAGAGTCAAATGTGATTGTCTTATTGCCGTCTGATTGGTCAAAGAATTATAACGAAATACAAATGCGACGTGACAGAATTTTAAGGTTCAAACTATCAAATTCAAATTTGTTTTCAAACAGAGACAAATATCTCTTATTTTTGGAAATTTTGCACAATTATTGTAGATATAGTTTCCAAATTAATACTCCTATTTTGCTGAGATGAAAAAATTGCTTTAGTTACAATGAACATCGGACTCATTCAACATTTGAAATTCTGACTACGAAAAATAATAAGCAAATCACACAAGTGTCATTCTTCTTTAAGATCAAGGAGATTGCAAGAGAATCATACCATCTTTCTGAAATTAATAAAATTGATTATTTGGTCCTAATAATAAAGAAAGCAAACACAGGGTTTTGTGACTATATGTGTGTGTGCGCGCGTGTGTAAAGGTGAAGTTTGAAATGGAATGTTACCGAGTCTTAAGCACATCACTGATTTTACCGAGTCTTGACATGTTGGTAAAAAGGGCAAAAAGTGGGGTGCTAAAGGAGATTAATTTACTGTTTAGCCGAAAGCTTAATTTGCTGTTGGATGACACGATACAAATTGTTATTTTAGAAAGATTAAAGTAAGGGATTAGAGAAGAAGTACACGGAATGTTTTGCTCGAAAGAAGGTTACTCTTTATACCCATTGCTTTATCTTTTGCCATTTTTGGTTTAACCAAGATTAAAAGACTTCTCTATTTCTTTTTATTTTCTGTGGATGATTGTTCAGTGACATTTTCTCTTTCTTTTTATTTGGAATTTTAAGCAACTGATATATATATATATATAAAAATACTTCATCTTACCTATAATAAGTATTATGTATTGAAAACTGTGACTCACATGTAAGACCTTAGGTATCAAAAAAAAAAAAAAAAAAAACAAGAGAGGCCCAATATTAGGGAAAACAAGGCAACAAACCCAACCCAGAGGTCAAAACAAATAACCATAATTAACCGTTGCTAATGAGCTGTTAATGGTGGGTATTAGTTACACTTCCGGTGACGAGACCCTAGCTTTGAGACGATGACGATGGTGGAACAAGTTCAGTCCGGTGGACGAGGTGGTGGCCGACAACAGGACGATGATACATTCCAGTCACTGAAGATCCTTCTTGTAGCTGTACAGCCCTTGAGGAAGTCCAATTTCAGGAGCGAGGTTATGGTGGTGCAAATTCTTGCCCGTACAACCCTTTGTGATGACTTTTCCATTGAAAAATTCGCTTTTTCCAAGGTGTGATACACCATTGAAGATAGGCAAATTGCTGAGTGACATAATCAAGTGAGAAACATGTAGTCACTTTGTGCAAAAATACTTAATTTTATAGCTTTTAGGTTCATTGTAACATGGTTGATAAAGATGAATAAGCATTACTAACTATTTAAGTTTAGTGTAAAGTACAAAATAATCTCTTTATATTTTGTGCATAAACTCATTAAGGGTGTGTTTAGCAACGTTTTCTGTTTTTGCAGTCTTAAGAAAGCAAAAACATGATTTTGCTTTTTTGAGTGAAAATAGAAAACATAAATAATATTTATTAATACTTGTTGTTGTCACAA